GGTGGATCACGTTTAGTCAGAACTCTCCACTATGACCTGTCCGTCTTGAGTGTCCCTGCATGGCATAGCCCATACCTTCTCTGAATTACTCAAGCCTCTTTGTCACAACAAGGCAGCAATCCATGAAGGGGGCTATCCACTATACCACACTTCTATATACTGCATAAGATCCATACAAATTTTATACAACATGAAACAAGAACAACTTCTTGAGCAAATGGAGGACTTTCCAGATTTCATACACAGATGATCCTAAATTTCCATTGTATGCCTTCCTTCTAGCTGAAGATAAATTGTTCACTATCAAGGAGAACAAGTGTTTAACAAAGAAGAAAAGCATATCTGCCAGGGCAAAAACAGAATTCACAGACAGCTTATCATTAGACTTAAAAGCACATTATTGTTGGAGAGAATTATTTCAAGCATATACTCCGAGGTAGCCTATTCCACTGCCAACCAGCTCTGACTGTCAGGAAGTTCTTCCTGAGATTCAGGTGGAATTTCTTTTCCTGTACTTTGAGACCATTGCTCCTTGTCCTAGTGTCTGGAGCTGTGGAAAACAAACCTGTCCGTTCCTCGACATGACATCCCTTCAAATATTTAAACATGGCTATCATGTCCCCTCTCAACCTTCTTTTTGTAAGGCTAAACATTCCCAGCTTCCTAAGCCGCTCCTTTTAAGACACCGCTTCCAGACCTTTGACCATTTTGGTCTCCCTCCTCTGGACACATTCCAGGTTGCCAACATCCTTCTTGAATTGAGGTGTCCAGAACTGGACACAATACTCCAGGTGAGGTCTGACCAAAGCCGAATAGAATGGTACTATCGCTTGCCTTGATCTAGACACTATACTCCTATTGATGTAACCAATAATTGCATTGGCTTTCTTGCAGCTGCATCACATTGCTGACTCGTGTCCCTTTCATAGGCACTGTTGTCTAGCCAGGTGTGTTCCATCCTATATCTGTGCAGTTCATTTTTTTCTGCCTTGGTGTAGAACCTTACATTTCTCTCTGTTGAAATTCATTTTGTTAGTTTTGGCCCAGGACTCTTAATCTGTCAAAGACATTTTGAATTTTAATCCTGTCCTTGGGGAATTACCAACCCCTCTCAATTTGATATCGCCTGCAAATTTAATCAGCATACTCTCTATTGCTTCATCCAAATCATTGATAAAGAATTCTCAAATATTATTCCCAATGGTTCTGAAATTACTTCTGCCAGTTCCTTTAATATCCTTGGATGTAATTCGTCAGGCCCTGAAGACTTGAATTCATTTAGAGTAGCCAGGTATTCCTGTACTACCTGTGCTGCATTTCCCCCTCTACATCATTTGCTCTTCGCCCCTCAGGTTGAACGCTATTTTCCTTTTTAGAGAAAACTGAGGCAAAGAAGGTTTGAGAAGTTCACCTGCTGAGAAGTTAACCTTTTTCCTGTCCTCTGTTAGTAGTTGGCCATTTTCTCCACACAGTAACCCTATCATTTCCTTCTTTTTCCTTTTGTTGCGGGCATAACTAAAAGAGCCCTTTTAATAGTTTTTAATCTGTCTGGCAAGCCTGAGTTCATTCTGCACTTTTGTTTCTCTTACCTTCCGCCTACATATACTGGCTATTTGCTTGTACAGTATTCCTTTTTGGTGTTTCCCCCATTTTCCCATTTCTTATACTTGTTTTTTTAACATTTAGCTCAGTTGAAGGTTCTTTAGTCAACCATTCTGATTTCTTTAGACATCGCCCATTTTTCCTTCTTATTGGAACAGTTTTAGATTGTGCCTTTCGTATCTCCCTTTTAAGAAATCCCTATTCATCCTCAACTCCCTTCTCTTTCAGTATCTTTGTCCATAGAAGTACAGCTAGTAATTCCCCAAGTTTACTGAAATTGGCCTCCTTAAAGTCTAGAATGAATGTCTGGCTGCACTTGGCCTTCCCTCTCCCACTGTATGACAAATTCCAAGAGAGAGTGGTCACTCCCACCTAAGGATCTCACCACCTCGACCCCATTAACAAGGTAATCCCTGTTGGTTAAGATCAGATCTAAAATAACTGATCCCCTTGTTGCCACTTCCACCTTCTGGACCATGAAATTGTCTGCAAGGCAAATGAGGAATTTGCTGGACCTTATGTTCATGGAAGACTTTGACCACCAACATATATCATAATACAGTGGTGCCTCGCAGAATGGTCGCTCCGTAGAGCGACGAATCCGCGCAACGGTGCCGTTTTTGCGATCGCAAAAGCGATCGCAAAAGGGCACCTAGATAGGGCACAATTCACAGAGCGAAGGGCGGTAAGCGGTTCGCTTACCGACCTTCGCTTTGCGACCCGCCGATCAGCGGGTCGGCGGGTGCAAAATGGCCGCCGCACGACCCCAAAATAGCCCCTCGCTTACCAAAGGCGCGAAAACGCTGCGGCCAGCCATTTCGGCTGTTCCGGTGGCCATTTTGGACCCACCAGACAGCTGATCGCAGCCATTTTCGCGCCCTTGTTCAGCGAGGGAAGGGCGCGAAAATGGCTGCCAGCCGCCCGGAAGCATCGTTGAACGGTGAGTATTCAGCCCAATTGGAACACATTAAACACTGTTTAATGCGTTCCAATTGGTTTTCTTGCCCCGTTCAACGATGCTTTCACACAGCGAGGGTTAATCCGGAACGGATTAACCTCGCTGTGCGAGGCACCACTGTAGTTGAAATCTCCCATTACTAATGTATCAGATACATTCCACTGCAAACTAGTCCTACCCAAGAGACTGGACTGTTTGAAAACCATGATTTTCACCCATAATTTCACTCTTTAATTTTCGGTTTAGGTAAAAGGCTTACAGAACTGTAGCATCAGTTGAATAATGGTATTAATAAAGAGGTTGCCAAAAAGTGGAGATGAGAAGAACCACAGGGGGGGAAAAGGTATTTCTACAATATGGATTTAAAAGAATGTAAACATTTATTTTATGCAGCTTGAACTGATTAATGCTGGTCTTCTTTTCAGATACTGGGCTGAAAAGAGCCCGAGAAAAGAAGATACGACACCAGACCAGCCATTTTGTATGAGGTTAAAGAATGACTGCACCATACCAAGAAAATGTTGGACTGATATTAGATGCAATTATTGGGCACGGTCAATCTGTAAGATTAAGCCTCTGAAAAAATGGATGAACTGATGATGTAGCTTAGCAGTGATAGGATGGTATTCTGTACTTGCTGTGAAAATACAAGAAGACTGGATGAGACCCACCATTCAAACTACAGATACCACTATCAACTTGTGAGGCTATCAAACTCATGTCTTGAAGAAGCTCTCTGACATCAGCATTCAAAACCACCTGTCTTGAAAATTCATTTTGCAATCTGAGTTAGATGGCTATAAAGCTGGAGTTGAAGATATGTTCAATCTGTTTTAATTGCATGTACAGATAATGAGCTCAGGGGGAAAAGTTGGTTTGGAAACTTTAGAGCAGTAATTCTCAAGCTTTTTTCAAAGTGCAACCCTCTTTTATAACAGCCAAGTAACATGTGACCACCACTCCCACCAGGTTTGCATAAAAAGGCATTTTAAATGTGGGTAAAGACTTCCTTTCTCAGAAAGTAGAAGCTTATTTCTCCCCCAAAGGGCCTTTTCCTCATACATACACATACATGCTACCTTTAATATTTTACTCTGAAAGGTTAAAAAAAATTATTTAACAAGGGCTGCAACACAAGTAAGGTAACACACTCAGAAAATACTTTTTGAACCTTGGGGTCACAATTCCCAGGTTGGGAAACAGTGCTTTAGAGCTCTGGAGAAGGGAATACTTCAGTTCAAAGCTTAGAATAGGCATCATGCTTCAGTTCAGTTCTAAAGAGATCCCCATTTATCTCTGTTTCCTGAAGGTCTGGAGGTCTCCCTGTTGATAAATCTCTTTGTGTGCCACCTACAAATCTACTTAACAGTCCCATGTTATGAGTCTGGTCTTAGCCTTCTGTGGAGAAAATAATGGGGGACATGCTCATAAGCCTTGCTCAAGTCAAGATGTACTACATTCACACCTCAAGCTGTCTGGGTAAGGTGTTAAAAAAGCAATGTGATTTTCTCTAGAACATGACTTTCACGTTTTGACATTACAGCCTCCATGTTACCCATTTTGATAATTTGCATGCAGGTTATACCATCATAAGCTCCAGCAGTGCTAGTGCCATTGATTACTTTTCAATTTTTGTCATTCTTTTATCCATGGGTTTGCATAAATACATAGCAGATCAGAGAGTGATCATTTGCCCCTTTGGTTATGTCCTTGTTGGTGCATACTATGATCTCACTTATAATCTTGGCAGATGCACCTTTGATAAACAATATTCTTACACAAAGTACTGATCCTAGTACTCACAGCCCTGTTAAAAATCCCAGCAGATGATAGATTAGAAGCATCATGTAAGGTCACCAAATGCAGATATTTATGACAGCTTCTCTAAAATTATCTGTTTAATTATTATAATTACATCAGAGCTAGAGGAATTGTAAAGGAAAAGTTGTTTTGGTCAAAAAGGCAGACTCAAGTACCAAGCTTTGCAAAAACTCCAAAACAGTGTCAGGGTGGGCAGACTTGGCTCTTCAGGTCAAATGCAGATACTGTTTAATTCCCAACATATATTAACTTTTGAAAACAGAATCGTTCTTATGATGAAGCACAATTGAGAAACAGAAAAATTGATAGAAAGTTCTGGGAGTTGGTAGCTGCTGCTACAAAGCTTGTACAGTCCTGCCCCGCTTAACGATTACCCCGCATTACGATGAATCCGCTTCACAACAATGTTTTTGCAATCACAATTGGGATCGCAAAATGATGTTTTATTTTTTTTTTTTCTTTGCAAAGATCGGTTCCCTGCTTCGGGAACCAATTCTTCGCATTACGACGATCAAAACAGCTGATTGTCGGGGTTTCAAAATGGCCACGGGGTGCTCAAAATGGCTCCCCGCTGTGCTTAGGGATTGTTTCCTTGCTATACAGGCACCGAAAATGGCCACCGTATGGAGGATCTTCGCTGGACGGTGAGTTTTTAGTCCATTGGAATGCATTAACTGGGTTTTAATGCGTTTCAATCGGCTTTTATTTTCGCTTTACAACGTTTTCGCTCTACAGCGATTTCGCTGGAACGAATTAACGGCGTTAACCAAGGCACCACTGTAATTTTATCCTTGACTTGTGGCCGGATATTCCTGTTCTGAACCCAAAAAGGCAGGAGGAAAAGGCGGGAAATTCAGATTGCTAACTGTTGGTAGTGAAGAGGCTGCTGCTTTGTAGCTTTTTCACCCCAGCAGTCAGAGAGTGTGCGGGAAGCTGCCTGGTAAGGTAAGGTGCTATTTTCCGCTTTTTAAACACTGTTCTGGGTGTTTTGCAGTGTGGTTTTGGGCTGGGGGGTTATGTTCCTGTGCTGTGATGGGTCTTGGGGAGTTTGTTTTTTGGTTTTTTCCCTCCACTTCCGATGGGTCTTAGGGAAGGAGGTTGCTTTTTGGGTTGTTTTTCCCATTTCCGATGGGTCTTAGGGGATTTAATTGCTTTTTGGAGTGTTTTTTCCCATTTCCGATGGGTCTTGGGGGTTTGTTTGTTTTTTGGTTCCCCCCCATTTCTGATGGGTCTTGGGGGGTTGGTTGCTTTTGGGTTTTTTCCGCCCATTTCCGATGGGTCTTGCATGCTTCCCTTGCTTTTTGCTTCCCTTGTTTTCTTTGCATTTCCAATGTGCTCCCTTTGTTTTCTTTGCATTTCCAATTTGCTCCCTTTGCTTTTCCCTTTGCGTTCTTTGCATTTCTGATGTGCTGTTTGTTTTCCTTGCATTTCTGATGTACTCTCTTTGCTTTCTTTGCATTTCTGATTTGCTCTGTTTGCTTCTTCCTTTGTTTTCTTTGCATTTCCGATGGGTTGTGCACGCTTCGTTGCTTTTCTTCCCCCTCCCTTCGGCCGTGCAGTGATTTTTTCTCTGTGTGTGATTTTTTTTTCTTCGGCCAGAACAAATTAATTTCATTTCAAAGCATTTCAATGGGAAATGGTGCTTTGACTTACGACTATTTCGAGTTATGTCCATCTTCTGGAATAGATTATGGTCATAAATCGAGGCAGCACTGTACCACAAGAATATCCATTTTTTGATCTAATCTCATTCCCAAAGTGGCCTGAAGTACATCAACATTGTTCACTATTAATGACAGAGGTCCAGGCAATGTATCATGTAAGAACCAAGTTGTTGTTTTTTAGTCGTTAAGTCATGTCCAACTCTTCATGACCCCAAGAACCAGAGCACGCCAGGCCCTCCTGTCTTCCACTGCCTCCCGGAGTTGGGACAAATTCATGTTGGTAGCTTCAGTGACACTGTCCAACCATCTTGT